GGCAAAGCGTAAAAGCGGAGGCCTGTTATTCTGGCGGTTTTACGAGTACTTTAAGGGAGTCCTAACATTGCCGCACTGACCAGCTGGACCACTCACTGATGGAAACCCAGACCCCACCCCTAGTCTAAAGGGACTGTGTAGCGCACACAGAAAGGCAGTTGGCTGGCAGAGGCCACCAGGGCTGCTCTGCTCCGGGACCACGTGCACCTTCACCATGAGGAACCCAGAGGACAGGCAGCAGCTGCATGACGTCCACAGCAGGTCCTGACGGAAAGCAAAAGGCCTCCTAAGAAGTTTAACCCACTGCCATCAAGTCAATTCCAATTCATAGTGCCCCTGCAGGACAGAGTAGAACTGCCCCGTAGGGCTTCCAATGTTGTCAATGTTCACAGGAACCTACTGCCTCATCTGCCTTATCTTTCTCCCGTGCAGCAAGTGGTGGGTTCGAACTGCCAACCTTCTGATCAGGAGCCAAATGCCCTAACCACTGATCGACCAGAGCTCCTTTCTAAGAAGTCTAGTAGCTCCAAACTCTGGGGGCCGGGGACAACCACCCTTCACTCAGTCATTTCCTTGGTACTTTATGGTGTGAAGGGCTGATTTTGATCAGCAAATTAATTCCTTTCTTCTTTTGCCTCATTTCTACCACTGTTCTCTCTGTGACACACACCCCACCCATCCCTAATGGCTTACAACCTCTTAGCCACCAACCTGTCAGAGACCCAAATAAAGCCTAAATCTTCTCTGTTGTTGTTGTTGTTGTTGTTATGTGCCATCGAGTAGGACCTGACTCACAGCGACCCCTCCTTGGATTGCCAAGGCGGTATCACTATGGAAGTAGATTGCCCAACCTTCTTTCTGAGGAGTGGCTGGTGGGTTTGAACCGCCATCCTCTAAATCCTCTCTAGGTACAAGCAACTAAGCCAATCGCTATGCAAGGTGGGCTGGGTTCATATGTAAAGTATCTCTGGGTTCACTTGGCAAGTATCTCTGGGTTCACTTGGCAAGTATCTTTGAATGAGACAGAAGCATTTCTTTGAATGTTACTGAAGAAAAAATGAATGACATATGATCAAAACATACAGAATAAATCTTATCTTATGCTGGCACAGTTCAAAGTACTTTTACAGATTTTCATCATCGAAAGAGCTTGAAACTTGAGAATTTTGTTGTATACTTGGTATGTTAAAATTTCAAGACATTCCTCAGAAAACATCAATTCCACCAAAAAGATAAATGTTGTATAGAATTGGCCCAATTACAAATTTTGAGTAAAAAAAAAAAAGAAAAAGTCATCACCCAAAACAAACACACACATACACACACGTTGACGTTTTACAAGTTCTGTTGTTAAGTGGTAGACGGTATTTGATAATGGCCAGTGGGGCCTTAAAGTAATAGTTTCCGCTGTTTGTGCAGCATATCTCAGAGTGCCAAACAGAGCGCCACCTGCGTAAAACAGATGCTGGCTTGCTGCCATTGCTGGTTTTGGTGAGTGCAATGCCTCCTTCCTTTGGCGTGCCTCCACATCTGATCTTCTTTTTAGATACAAAATTGGGAAATGTAATGTCAGTGAACTGTCCAATCAGAGGCGTGAGCTCTTTGCATTAAAGGTAAAAAAAACAACAGTGACATTCTAGAAGTTTTGCTAAAAAATCATACTGAAGCATGAAAAAAAAGAAGGAAAAACAAGGAGCCCCGACGAAATAAATGCACCAAAAAGGATGTTTGAGGTTCGAAAGATAATCCTGGGCCCGCCAACATTTTAAATTTATTTCATGTATGTTATATAGCAGCCTAAAGTCATCCATTATCTTTAGGCTTGGCCTTATTGATTCCTTAGAATTGTGAAATCAAGACTTCTTGTCACAGAATTCTATAAATACAACTGAAACACAAAACCAAACCTGTTGCTGTTGAGTTAATTCCAACTCCTGGTGACTCTATAGGACAGAACAGACCTGCCCCATAGAGTTTACAAGGCTGTGACCTTTATGCGAGCAGAGTGCCACATCCTTCCCCCATGGTGTGGCTGGTGGGTTTGAACCGCCAACCTCTCGGTTGGCAGCTGAGTGCATTAGCCACTGCACCACCAGGAAGCCTTATAAATATAGCCAAAATCTCAGTGAACTTCCTTGACAATGTTAAAATAGCCCAACCATATAAAGTTAAGACAACGAGGAAACATGTGCTGACACTTGTCCTTTGTGAATGGTCCAAATGTAAGAACGGCCAAGCATCTGGAACTACTGAATACCCTCACAACCTTCTAAGCCCTCTAAGTGTTACAAAGACTACTTTGCCAACTGGCCCATGTGACACCAGGTGCTGATGCAAACGGTAGCTCGGGATCTCACCATAGAAACACTGGCCCCATCAGAAGGCTGTAGGCACGAGCCCAGAGAGAAAGCAGGCTTGCCTCTCCGGGACCACCCCGACTCCCACACAACTCACGGCTGCCCTGCTCATCCTGCGCTCACAATGCACTGCTGTAAGTTACACCCAGACGTGTGTCCCAGCCGTGTCATTATGAACCAAAGGGGAAGGCGGAAGTGTCTGAGTTTACTTGGAATCAATGTGAGGCAAAGGGGATTCTGGGATAGTTTCAGTTCTTATTTCTTTCCTAAAAGAGAGATTAACCTTATGTTCTACTCCACAGCAAAAACAGTATTTTTGAGCAGATGCAAATTGGCTTCATTTCTGGGCAAACGTGGGTGGCGGCCCGCTGGTGGGAAGGTTAGCCATCTTTCTGGACACACTGGCATTGTCGTGTTGTTGGCAACAATTGCTTGTTGTTGTCGTTGGGGGCTGTGGGTCAGTTTGTAACTCAGAGTGACCCCGTGTGACAGCAGAACCTGCCCCATACAGTTTTCCGGGTTGTAACGTAATCCTTACAGGAGCAGACTGCCAGGTCCTTCTCCCAAGGAGCCACTGGGTGGTTTTGAACTGCCGACCTTTTGACTAGCAGCCAAGCTTGCACCAGCAGGGCGCTATAGCTGACAGGTGTGAGATATGAGACACTGGGAGCATCCTGTGACAAAGTCAGGGCACTGTGTGCACCTGAGGCCCAGTCCCCTGCCCAGGGGAGGTCCGAGGGCCTGCCATTTCTGCACCACGGTCAATGTGGAGCTCAGGTCGGCTGGGGCGGAGACAAGGACTAGAACAGTCACAGCTGTCACTAGCACTGGCTAAGAAGATGCTCAACTGCTTTTCTCCCTCTGTGTTGCTGTGGCTGCTGTATTTACCAAATGGGAATACTAACCTTTCCTTTTAAATGAGGGAAATGCATGGAAACAGTAACCCCCCGCCCACACACACAGTGGAAAGGGCAGACAGCAGCACAGGTGTGTTCATTTCAGACCCAGCTTGTAGTTGACACAGACAACGAACCTCACCATTTCTTTTCCAAAGTAACATCTACGAAATAATAAGACTCTTTCAATAAATTATATTCCAAACTCACAAAATACAATTTCATTAAGAAGGGCTTACTTTCCCAGTGGACATGACACACGGCTGAAAAAACAAAAACGTGGGACCACTAGAAATAAGCAGGACAGGCTGCAGATAACTATAATGTCAAGTTAGTCACGTTGTCAGTAGTTCATTTAGAGCTGTACAATAAAATGTCCCCGAGAACAGGACCACTTTGTGCCTTTTAAAATTATTGTTCTGAGTCTGATGACATAGGGGGCTTTGGGGGGGAGAAACGCTGGTTCTGATAACCCAGTATTTATTTCGTGCATGGAAAGGGCACGGAACAAAGGAGAAGATACACCACGAGGGTGGGTCGGGGGGTACTGCCGGGATCAGGCAGAAAGACGTGACGTCCTAACGTCTTGCTGTCACAGAGCAAACCTAGTGCAGAGTGTCATTCACGGATGACAGACGAGTGACAGCCAAGGAGCCAAGACACACAACATGCACTTTAACCCACTCATCCATCAGCATCCTTTTTGCAATAAAACCCATTTTCAAATATCCTACAAATGTGAAACCGAGCGATTCTTTTCCTCCTTTTTCATATCCATTATTGGTATGTTTCCAGGGGTCAGGCAGAGGGAAGCAAAATTCCTGTGTCATACACGTGCTCCTTGAGGCAACTCAAGGGACAGACTCCCCACCAAGCACACACCTGGCCAGGACAGTTACGTGTGCTGCTGGTCGGCTTCAGCCACCTGGACACCGTCATGGCCCTGGCATTTCAAACGCCGCTGCCTCCCACCTCAATCCCCATGAACCTTCCCAAAGAGCTACTGGTAAACGCCTGAAATTACGAACTTACACCATAACCCTTGAGCCCATGCGACCTTGATTCCCACCTAACAGAGAGCTCCTGGGAAGATCTGCCAGAGACGAGGCAGGCAGTACGCACACCGGGCCGGTTCACAGGTGAAGGGGCCAAGCTCAACGTTTTCAGAAAACGCCTTCAAGTTTTAACCTGGGGGCGGTAAGAAGCCGGTTCTGAAGTGCACAGAGGAAACAGACCATGGCTCTCCCACCCCCAGGAGCAGGGAGCAAAGACAGACTCAGCAGGGACCATTTATAGGTAACCATGGCAACACTCAGGGTAGCCCGTTACCCAACACTGACGAGTCCATCTTGGAAAGTCTATGATATATACAATATCAGACATAAAAACTTCAGTGACAAGTAGGAATGGTTTCAAGTCCCAGGTTCAGTATTTACCAAAATAAGTGTGCAGCAAGAACAAGAACCCTCCGTTCTTCAGTAGTTTTCGAGTGCGGACAGCCAGGACCACGCAGGAGGCAATCGGGCAGGGTGGGAAGGTGACCCCCAGGCCTGGGATGGCCGCGGCTCCTATTAGGAGCATCCTGGCAACTTGGGTCTCCCCCAGGCGTGGAGGAACCTCAGCGACAGGAACCAAATGTCAAATCTTCAGGCTTCTCCAGGAAGCTCCACTTCACGGCTAGACGACACAGCCAGGTGAGAACTCCCCCGATGCGGAGTCTTCTCAGGACCCTCCCTGCTCCTGGACATCAGAGGCCATTGCTGTTCCTGTGGCACAGGGGTGGCTTGGACAGCTCCACGACCGCGGAGCGGGGCTTGTTGAGGAACTTGGGAGCCCGGCGCAGTAACCTCTGGGCCTCCGTGAAGGTTTCCGTCAGCTCCTTTTTCCACTGTACAAACTCTGGGTCGCTCTGGGTGGAAACACACAGAGAGAAATGGTGACAGGTCGTCCAGCGGGGGGCTTCTCCAAAGTGTGTGAATGTTGTCGGAGCACGAGGCAAGCTCTACCGAAAGCATGCTCTGTTCTCCCAACCTACGGAAGGGGCCCTGTGGAATGGTTAAGGACTTGGCTGCTATGCACAGGTTGACGATTTGAACCCACCCAGTGGCTTCCCAGCAGCCCTGGTGGCACAGTGCTTAAAGCATTTGGCTGCCAATCAAAAGGTCAGCGGTTTGAACTCACCTGCCACTCCATGAGGGAAAGATGAGGCACTCTGCTTCCACTGAGATTTAAAAAAAAAAAACAAAAAACCAAACCCACTGCCATTGAGTAGAATCCAACCTATAGCTACCCCTCCTTGGGTTTCTGAGGCAGTATCTCTATGGAAGTAGATTGCCCAACCTTCCTTCCGAGGAGTGGCTGGTGGGTTACAGCTTGGAAACCCTCGGGCAGTTTACCCTGTCCTGTAGGGTCACTAGGAGTTGGAACTAACTCAATGGCAGTGAGTGCTGGGTTAGAAGCCACACAGAAGAAGAGACTTGGTGTTCTGCTCCCACAAAGATGTCCGCCTAGAAAATGTTACGGGGCCGTTCTGCTCTGTCCCACGGGGCGGCCGACTCAGAATGGACCCGATGGCTCCAACAGCAGCAGCGGCATCACTAACTGGTGGGTGATGCCGGGACTCCTCCCAGAGTCTCCTTACAGAGGGAAGGGAAAGGCCGTGCTGAAGCCCTTCAGATGATCCTGAAACAAGCCCACTGCGAGAACCACTGCCTCCGGCATAGTTAGCCACTCCCTTTGAGTGCCCCACCAACCAAAGTGTACGCACAGTAATGTGAGCCTTCCATACAGGATCTTCGCTGATTAACAACAACAACAAAACCCACTGCTGTTGAGTCA